GTTCTTCAGTGTCTAATATTACTTTCTTTGGTGTTTTGTTCGGCACATTATTTGAGTATGAAGCTGCCCAATTTGTGGTGTTACTCATGTTTTACTAGAATTTATTTGGAGCATTCCTCAATATATAAACCTGGTTTTTGAACATTTTGGCAAACCTTCTTGTCTTTCTCCTCATGATCACGTTCTTATGGGTGTGAATAGCGCATTACTAAGCCAAAGCTGCACTATGTGTGCGGTGTACTTTTTGTTGGCTATCACAAAGTGAAAATAAGTTGTTAATTATTTTTTATTAAGTTTTTTCACTTGTGCTATACCCGCTACAAAAATTGAGCATGACATCCATTAGCATTACACTTTGCTTTTATTTTCAATCTTGTGTTTGCCAATTATATCTCCTACATAATAAACTTATAGGAAATAACACTTTCGTGTCTTATGTTAATCATACATCCTAATAAGGTTCATGGATTACCTTGACCTGTATACTAGTGTGATTGAATTTTGGATTCCTTTTTTCTTTATTTTTTTTAATGCTTTGAAGTCTATACGTATCATGGGCTTGCAGGAAGAAGTGCAAGTTTTTTTAGTCTACCATCTTAAAACAAGTTTTGTGCATGTAAATTGATACCTCCTGGTGCTGATATTCGAAGAGCCAAAATTAATTATATATCAGCTTGAAACCAAAACAAGTTTTTTCTTTTTCAGTTTTTCTCGAACTTCATGATGCTTGCATTCTTAAGGAGCCAAAATTGATTGTTACTTCCAATTTGAACAGTTGACAGACTTTGGGCTATCAAAAGTGGGTCTTATCAACAGCACTGATGATTTGTCGGGTCCGGCTGTTAGCGGAACATCGTTAATGGAAGAAGACGAACCGCCATTATCTGCATCAGAGCATCAGAAAGAAAGGCGTAAGAAACGTTCAGCTGTGGGCACACCAGACTACTTGGCACCAGAGATTCTTCTAGGAACTGGGCATGGTTAGTTGATCTCCTGTCCTCCAGTTAGCTTTATAGTATAATTAAACTAGAGAAATTGTCCATCCATTTTGATTGGATTAAGTTTTTCTTCCATTTCTACAAAATGCATTAAATTTGCTTATATCCCTATCTTTTGCAGGATTTACTGCTGATTGGTGGTCGGTGGGTGTTATTCTCTTTGAATTGATTGTTGGCATCCCTCCATTCAATGCCGAGCATCCTCAGGTTATAAGACTGTTGTAACATTTTTTATTAATTAGTAGTTACTTTCCTATAGTATCCATACTTTTCCTGTGCACACTTGAATGTGGAGTGCATCCTAACAGATTTCTCCTTTATATATGTTCTTTCGTATAGAAATCATTTCTGATAGTGCTTTGGGATGTGGTTTGGAGTCCCGGAGATTTTCAACTGTTTCTAGTTTCTTTTCATTTTGATAGCAGGGATTCTGTATTCAAAGACTAATCAAATGAAAATCAAATGGCTGTGGTTATAGATTTCTCCGACAAAGTTTTAGTTCTTGGAAAGATCTTCAGAAATTTTCACCTTAATAAAATTATGAATTTAAAATGATTTTGAAGAAAATGCCCATAGTTCAAGATTGACACTTCTGGATAAAGATTTTTTGCTTGGCTCTATTTGAAGTCGTCTTATGCAATGCTCTATATGCAATTCTTGGTACTTCCATCAACGTTGACGTTTCTTTCCTTTTCATTTTTATTTGTAGAAAATATTTGAGAACATTCTCAATCGGAAGATTCCCTGGCCTCGAGTTCCTGATGAAATGAGCCCTGAAGCATATGATTTGATCGACCGGTAAAAATCTCATCCATTTCTATCACCTACTTTCCAATGCTTGGATAATTTGTTTTATCACTGCCGAAAACATTTATACTCATACAATTCGTGTCAAATTTCAGTGCCTTGATCTGTCATATTTGTAATTTGATACATTGGGTTATCATACAATTTTCTGGGATAGGAGTATCCGAGACAATTTTTGTACGCTAATCATATGAACTGTCCTCGCTTGATGTTTCTAAATAAATTTTTTACCTCAGTTGAATGGTACAATTTTGTTTAATAGCTTTCTGCTTCATGCTGCCTTGAATTCAATTTAATTTTGGGAAAAATGCAAAGACTACTCCTGATACCTGGCCTAACTACAAAAGATACGGTTTACTCTTCAAAATCATAAAAAAACCTCATTACGGTATTACAAGTCCCTGCTAGCTTTGTAAAACAGAAGCAACTTGAATGTGGATCATGTAGTTGACGGATATAAATTATATTGTTCTTTGTTTTACAGTTTCCTTATGATTAGAAATTGTGTGTAAATATTAAACGCTTCTCAACTGTTCTCATTACTACAGCTGTTTTGCCTTTTACATTGTGCGGAATCTTTACTTTACAACATATATAAGAATAGGGAATGCCTTTGTTCATAGATTCTTAGATCGGTCCATTTATTGGTTCTGATATCCACTGACAGGCTACTAACTGAAGATCCTAACCAGCGGCTCGGAGCTGTGGGTGCTTCTGAGGTAATTTGCATTTGTTTTAGGATAGTTATACTTGTCCCAGAGTTTTAGCGTAACTACCAAGAAAAAACTTGAGATATATTTTCTGCTGCTTCCTGACTTGTCTTTGTTTCTCGAATTTCATCTTTCTGACAAACGGTGGTTTGTGAAGTTTATGTAGGTCGAAATTTAATTTGAAATTGTAAAAGATACTCGATTTTCTTGTAGTTTAATAAATATATTTGCTTGCAGGTCAAGCAGCATCCATTTTTTCGAGATATTAACTGGGATACTCTTGCTAGGCAGAAGGTTTGACCGTACACTTAAATTTGCAAATACAGAATCTAGTGGATGAATATGTTATAATGTTGTCCCATTTTTTTTTTTTTTTTCCTCTCTCTAGGCTGCTTTTGTCCCTGCATCAGAGAGTGCAATGGACACTAGTTATTTTACAAGTCGTTTCTCATGGAATCCTTCAGACGAGCATGTTTATGCTGGCAGTGAATTCGAAGATTCCAGTGAAAATGGCAGCTTAAGTGGTAGCAGCAGTTGCCTAAGCAACAAGCAAGATGAATTGGTTTGTGTTTCAGCTGTTTAATTCAATATAGCATTTTTTTCGTCGCGATTATATCGTAAATATTTGAATCTCGGATTATTTGAAGAGGTCTTTTGAGTAGTCACCTCTAAAGTTTGATCGAACATTTTCCTAAACATAGGATGTTTAGTCCGCGTATGAGTGGAATTGTGTATTATTATTAGAAATGGTCTATTGTGGCCGGTGATTTATAAAGATGTCAAATTAGGAATTTGGTGCAAACATTGTCATTTATGCATTGAAGTCCTGAGTGCGATTTGACATGTCAATTTTTGTGGCAAATCATCGAAATTGCTGAATTTCTGGCACTCTGTCTGCACCTTATCAGTCTTAGGTAGCAAACCTGGTCAAATCGCGTATTTGTAGTTTAAATTCGATTATCGTTCAAAATATTGTATCATATTAGATGAAAAGCCGCGTTACCCAACCAAAATAACTTCTTACCTGTTTTGTTAATACAACCTTTGATTTCATAATTGGAATCTAATTCACTTGTAAAGCAGGGAGATGAATGTGCGGGACTCGCGGAATTTGACACGAGCTCTGATATCAACGACTCCTTTAGTAATTTCTCGTTTAAGGTAAGTACATTAGGCAGTTGTGTTTACAGTTATTAAGATTGCATTTACTATCTAAAAAATATTTCCAGTCAAATGGTTGTCCTCGCATAAATTTTACGTGTGAAAAGTCTGACTGTCTTTTTAACGAACATTCATACCTTTAAAGTCGGAAGTCATACTTTTCCAAACAACCATTTGCATTGTTAAAAGTAGGATCTTTTTTCTTGAAAAGTATGTCTGTTGGCATAAATGAGGTTTAAGTCTGAGTCATTATATAGCATTGGGGGTAGTTTTTGTGAACCATACTTGCTTTCATGCTGTAAATTATCACCTTATATTATATATACTGCCTTTAATTTTGTTTTCTTATAATTCTTGGCAATCTACAGAATCTTTCCCAGCTTGCCTCAATCAACTACGACCTGCTCACGAAAGGCTGGAAAGACGATCCACCTTCAAATTCAAATACATAACTGGGACCTCTCTTTAGTATAATATACATTTAACTTTGGGGGAAAATTGCCTCCCAGTTTATATTCCTTGTAAATGTATTTTTTTTTTTTTTTTTTTNTTTTTTTTTTTTTTTTTTTTTGCATTTATTTTTTCATTCAACTGTTGGATTTTTGGCACAATGGTATTTTGTTTGTTTTTTGTTGGCTTTCCAACTCCTAAATATTCTCTCTTGCTTAGACAATTTCTTGTGTTTTCTTCTCTTTTGCTTCGTTCAGCTCATTCTTGGTTATTGTTTGGCATAAATGTAGAAATATGTTGCCAAATAATATATAGATTTTGATTGGCCAATATTAGAAGGTTGGAATTGCATCAATATTTTTTGTGGACACAATTGTGAGGCTTTTCAGCGAAAAGAACCTAAAAGTCAGCAAGGTCAAAGTCAGCATTCCTGTCTTTCGTCACAATTAAATTACAATTAGTAGTGCACATGTACATGCCGCAGCAATATTTTTGTTATTTTAAAAAAGAAATATTTTAGTTAGTTAATTTTGGTCTTTTATATTTTATATAACAAATATATTTATTAATTTTTCTAATTAAGACACGATTAACTAAAGATTTAGCATTTTTTTTAAATTCTTATTAACAGTTTAATTTATGAAAAATTCAAAACTGCATTTCAATGACTTGGATAGTCATAAATTGGCCCAATAAAAATTTTGGGATTGATTTGCCCGCCAAAACTTCATCGCCCATTGTTGTAGATCTCGGGTTCATATCAACGATTAGAAGTTGTGTTCTTTAAAAGACACATTATTTATATATATATTTTTGGTGAAGATCAAACTGTTAGATCTTTGATCAACGTTAGTAACATACAAAAGTATCAAATATGTCTAAGGTTTCTTCCTTTGGGAGTTCTTCTGGCAATTATTGGTTTTCGATCTCTTTTTATCTGCTAAATCACTCACTCGCGTCTAATTCACCGATATTCCTTTATCCCTGTTCCCTCATCTCCGTGTAACCTTTGTTAGATTACCCTTTCTACCAGTTGAGATGCAAGACGATCTGGCAAACCGTCTTAACAACTTCTCCCTTTCCCAACAAGAAGAAAACATCATTGACCTTGATTACACTTATAACAAACTTAGCGGCGATGAATGTAAAAGGAGCCTATTTGGTAAGGTGGTTGGTGATAGGAAGGCCGATATGTTCGGCCTCAAACGCACCATGTGCCATATCTGGTAGCTCAAGCACCCCCTTACAGTTCGAGAGCTAGAACCAAATTTCTTTCAGTTCCTCTTCGATTCAGAAGCAGAAAAGAAACGGGTTGCCTCCGGTCGAAACTGGTCCTTTGAGAATCAATATATCATCCTGAAGGAGTGGCAAGAGGACTTATCGGCTAACCATCCCTGTTTTCAAGAAATGGACATCTGGGTCCATGTTGGCAACGTTCCCCTCAATTGGCTTTGTACGGAGGTAGGCCTCAAAATTGGGAAGGAATTCAAATTGGTGAAAAACGCAACCATATGTACAGGTACTGGTAACTGTGGTAGATATTTTCGTCTGTTAGTCACAATTAATCTGAAGGAACCATTATTGCGCTGCATTTCTATCAAATTGGGAGATAAAGTCCGAAGAATTGAATTCAAATATGAAAAACTGATAAATCTATGCTACTATTGCAGAAGGATTGGTCATATGGACAGGGGCTGCACTTTTAAAGAGGAAGACATAGCAAATGGAAAATTATGTTGTAACGCCCCAAAACAGTAATGATATTCAGAACGGTTTCACTGCTCGACTATAAGTGAAATCCGTAATTTTCAGAAATTATCGAGTTATATTATTTATGCTAAATGCTCAAACATGATAAATTATTCTTTGAATAATTCTATCTCAAGTATAAGTTAAGGTTAATCCATTAATTTGGGTTATTAAATAATAGCAAGTCAATTCGAGAAATTACCGGACACGAACCCTAGTTGTCGTTCCGAGTATATTTTCCTAAGTCAAAAATTGAGAGTTGATATTTTAATACTTAGAATATTTTTCTAAGTGTGTTAGAATACCAAAGTCGAGCTTTGGACATTTTATATTGAGCCCTAGTGCTCACCCGAGCCGCCCGTGCCGAGCCCCGCACCCGCGCCTCGTGCCGTGCCAAGCACGTGCCTACCGAGCCCATGGCTTGTCCTAAGCCTTGGCATAAGTTGGTAAAATAATTCTAAGTGTTCTTGGACCCTTGGAGAGCCTTAGGACTCGGCCCAAGACCACCACACGCGAGCAGCCGTTTTTCCCGCGCGCAGCCCGCTACCCGCGCAGCCCAGCAGCCTCTCGCGCCCAGGGCCCAGTGCCGCGCCCGGGGCCAGCGCCCAGGCCCAGCGCTGGCAGCGTGGCAGCCCAATATTTTGAGCCCATTTCATATGTTTTCGGCCCAAATCCTCCATGACCCAACTCATGCGGTTATTAAGGACTTAATAAGGGTTAGATTAAGCTAATTTGGCCCTAAGCATTGTTAAGGGAAAGTCAACACATCATTTGCCAAAGTGAAGCATGTGCACACATTAGTTTATTCAAGTATTTTTGTCCTTGTCCCCCATGCAACCTCCAAACCTGACCTGACCTCTCCACTATGATATTATACTCTGAAAATGGTCTCTAAGACCGTGCAATATCAGCCCAAGGCCATGCCCCATCACCCCTCTCAAGTTCCCATGCAAATGGAGTGGAATAAGACCACTTATCATGTCCCCTTTGACCCAACCTTGTTAAATCCGCCCAAACCTCTTTATAAACAGCCTTCTTCAGTCCATTTGAGACTCTTAGACATTTTGAGACTTGAGAGCTCGAGCACTTTGAGAGAAAACAAGAGAAAAGAACCAAGAGCCCTTACCTTGCACCACCGCACGCGCCTAGCCCGGGGAAGGAGGAGCAGCGAGGTTCAGCCACTTGCAGCCATATTCTCTCGAGGCTTAGCATATTCTAAGTGTTACTTAGATTTTTCTAAGTCTTTTAGAAGGGATAGGCTCGAGAGAATCACACCACAAGACCACCATTAGCACCAAGGCCGTGTTTAAGCACATTTTGAGCCCTAGTTCATTATCTCCATTTCTAACCGAGGTAAGCTCGGGATTTTTATGTTCATTAATTATTTTATGATATTTTAAGATTTTTCATGAAGAGAAACCGAGCCATGCATGTCATTATATATGATTTACGAATTTTTGAATTAAATGGCCTTAAAAATAAAATTTTAGTTGCATGCATGCCAAAGTCGAAAATGTTGGTTAAATCACCCTTAAATATCATACCATTGATGCTGTAAAAATTTGAGAATAAATGGAGTTCATTGCCTTGGTCAATTCATTCATGAAAATACGCTATTTTGGCCACCCGAGGCCCATCCTCATGCATGCATGTTATGACCTAAGTGTTAGCCACTATAGTCATCATTTGTGATGTATAACATTCGGCCCTGAGTAGTTTTGTAAGTTATGAATGTTCGTTCGGACGTAAGTTGCTCGTACGTGCCATTTAGGCCCTCCCGAGTGTCATGCATGTGGACCCGGGGTCCACTAGTGTTTTATGTGATATTTGTGCTTATTTTACCATATCATGATGTTTGGAGTTGCATGTCACCGGAAAAGTCGCCGGAGGTCCGGCAAGGGCCGGCCTTGGTCACTGGCCGCGCACGTAGTGCGGTAGTGCCCGGCCCCAGTGCCTGTCCGTGCCTGCAGAGGGTAGCCTTAGCCAGTGCCCGCGCCCGGTAAGCGCGAGGCACAGCCCGCGTGCACGCAACAGCGCCCGCAGCGCCCAGTGCGTGCCCGTGTGCCAAGCATAAGCCCCAGTAGCCCCAGCACGCGTGGCCATGGCACCCAGCGTGCCCAGCCATGCGCACGACGCCCGGCAGCGTCCGTGCCAAGCCCAGCGCACGAGGTCTCGTGCCAGAGCCTCGTGCCAAGTCCAGGGCTGACCCGAGCAGGGTCAGCTGAGCCCAGTCGGCCTCGGGGCGTGTCCAGCAGCACGCCCGAGAGCCCAGTGACCTCGGGGACGGCCAGTAGCGCCCGTGTGGCCTCTGCCCGTGTCTGTCCCGCGTCTGCCCTAGCCCAGCCGGCCCGGGACGTGCCCAGCAGCACGCCCGCGTGCCCAGAACCCTCCAGGGCGCCCGGCAGCGCCCGCGTAGCCCCTGACCAGTGCCAGTCCGCGCCGTACCGTGCCCAGTGCACGCCAGCGCGCCCCAGCAACCCTCAGTCCGTGCCCAGCCGCACGACAGGGCTTCAGCCAAGCCTCGGCCGTGCCCAGCGCGCACCCGAGGGGCACCAGTCGTGCCCGGGCCGTGCCAGCAGCCCCTGGCCGTGCCCACCAGCGCCAGTCCGCGCCAAGACATGTCCAGCGGCCCCAGGGACCGAGCCCGGTCGCACCAGCCGTGCCCAGCGCCGTGCCCGGGCACCAGCTGGCCCGGCACGGGACCGAGCCCGGTCTAGCCGAACCCAGCCCGACCGCCCGGCCCAGTCGAGCCGGCGGTCCGGCCAGCCAGCGAACCGGCCGGTTCGACCGGCGGTTCGAGTCAGTTTTGACTCGTGATTTCTGATCCGAGTCCAGTTCCGGAAATTTCAGTATTTTTCCGAGCCAGTCCAGTCCAGTTTAATCGCGTAGATAAGTCCGAGCATTTTAGCATATAATTAAATATTCTGAGCATTATACTTAGCATTATTTTGCTTAAATATTTATGTAGCCTAAGGAGAGTCGAGCCTCCGACCGCTACTCCAGCTTCCGCACTTGCATACCAGATTTCAAGTTTTTCAGGTGGGGGTCATGTACTGGATTTCACATCATAGATAATATCTGTACCATGGCAGAGGTATGTTTGAGACAGTTTAGTTCCGGGTTGGGTGGCCGAGGCCTTTATACCCACCTGATGACCGTTGGGAGGGGCGAGGCCCTTTCTACCCCATCGGCGTGTGCACACGAGCGGCTACGGCCGAGGGTCTTTTGACCACAGATCAGAACAGACATCAGAGATCAGTTTACAGTTTCAGCTCTTATATATTTATGTTTCATGATACGTTATTATAGATGATGTTTTGTTCAGTACTGGTCTTTGCGGAGCATAGTGGTTTGCTCACGCCCCCATTGTGTTTTTCAGGAGACGGAGTCGAGCGTGCCGGATGAGCACAGATGTGGCGCAGCGTGGTCATGAGAGTCGGACATATTTTACCAGCATTTTTATGTCCTAGATTTATGATCATGTGTATTTTATTCAGTTTATGTACGCATGTTATGTATTCGTATTTCGGATGCTTCCGCCAGCGAGTTTTCTAGACAGTGCGAGACAGTACAGACTACGCATGTATAATTCCATAATCCGCGAGCGGATAGTTTGGTTGCATGTTTTTTTATTATGTCTGCGGGCAAGCCCGAGTTCAGTTTAAGTTTTTATCTGCCACATCCCGTAATAAGTCAGTATTTTCGAAAACCCAGCTCGCACATTCTTTCGAAAATAAAAACAAAAATTTTACTCTGATTTTTAAAAGCTAGTAGTGAGGTGGGGTGTGACATATGTGAAGGGTAATTTGGTGACTGGCTCAAAGCTACAGAAGGAGTATACATTCCCTGTTCAAATACCTCTTCAGACCCAATCTCCCCACCCAAAGAATTTTATAATTCCTCTGCTCAGGGAACTTCAGCCACTAAAGACACTCAAGAAGCAGGCACCAGTAACTCCCCTGCTCAAACAAACAGGCCAGAAGAATCCTCTACCAAAGCTTTAATACCTTTCCCCTCTCACCTATTATCTGTACTACCTAAACCAAACAAAACCAAAGCCACAAGCAAATCCATTGTACTTGACTTCCACAACCCTAACTCCCCTGCTACTAATGAGCACCTTATGGACTTCTCCATCTCTACACCACAACTGCCATCAACCATTGATCCTAACCCAGTTCTATACCCCCTCCTGCAACCCCTATGTTTCATGATAGTGGAAAGAGAATCAGGAATGAAATCACTGAATCTCCAGCCAATCCCAAGAGCTCAGAATCTAATGCTAGTCTTCAAAAAAAACAAAAGGTTACTGTACAGGTGGGAGAAGCCAGCCTCAAGTAGCCCCAAGGTGATCAATGACAGCCATGGTGTGGAACTGTAGAGGTCTGAGTGGACCCTCTATAGTTCCCCAGATAAAGGAGTTTTGGAGATTCCACCACCCCAATTTTGCTTTTTTCTGTGAAACTAGAAAATCCAAAAAATTTGTAAATACAGTCTGTAGAAATTTGGGTGTTGATGACAGGTGGGTAGCCTCTGATCCTATTAATAAGAGTGGAGGCTTGCTTCTTTTCTGGGATTTGGAAGTTGACATCCTTCAAACTATCTGCCATCCATTTTGTATTGAAGTGGAATATAAACTAAACAACAACCCGGATTCAGCGTGGTTCATTTTTGTGTATCTTATCCCTTGTAAGAGAACAAGATCAGAACAATGGCAGTTTCTAAACCAGGCAAAACATCACTGGGGTCCCAATTGGGTGGTAGCAGGTGACTGGAATGACATCCTCTGCACTGATGAAAAAAATGGAGGGAGATTGAGGGCTGAAAATAGTTTCTGGGGCTTTAGAGCATGCATTGCTGATTTGGGTTGTCAAGAAATCCCCATGGAGGGTTACCCATTCACCTGGGGTAATAACAGGCTGGGGGAAGGCTTCATAGAAGAAAAACTTGACAGAATGGTGGCATCCTTGCACTGGCATGATCAACACCCCACAGCAAAAGTCCTCAACATTTTTAGGAGTGCTTCTGACCACAACCTCTTGCTCCTCCAAACTGCTACATCTCACAGCCACAAGAAAAAGAGTTTCTGCTTTAACAAGAGATGGTTAAAAAAACGTGGCATCAGAGAAGAAATTTCAAATGCTTGGAACCAACCAGTCTCAGGCTCAGCCATGTAGTCCCTCTCAGAAAAGATCAAATCCACGAAAGTAGCACTGCTTAAATGGAGCAGGACTTTCCAAACTAACTCTGCAACTACTATAGCCAAACTTACAGCTGAAATGGCAGGTATGAGAGAACAAAGTGGGGCTAGAGATTGGGACAAATAGGCTCAACTTAAGCACCAGTTAGATGAAGCATACAAAGAAGAAGAGTCCTTTTGGAAACAAAAGTCAAGGGTGCGTTGGCTCAAAGAAGGAGAGAAAAATACCCGGTTCTTCCATGCATACACACTTCAAAGGAGGATAATTAACTCAATTGCCAGACTTATTAATGCTGATAACACCATCTGTGACACTAGAAAAACTATCACTGCCTGCCTATCAGACTACTACAACCATCTATTCACATCAGAAGGTTCTGTTGACATGGACAACCTCCTTAGTCTCATCCCATCCTCCATCTCTGCTGATCACAATGAATCTCTAACTGCCCCAGTGACTGAGGATGAAATCCAGAATGCTTTGTTCAACATGCACCCTGACACAGCCCCTGGTTGGGATGGTATGCCTCCTTCTTTTTTCCAATCCTTTTGGAGTATCATTAAAAGTGACTTATGCAAAGCTGTCCTGTCTTTCTTTATCTCTAATCACTTGCTCAAAAATTGGAACCTTACATTAATCACACTCATTCCCAAATGCCAGTCTCCTATCTCTGTTGGAGACTATAGACCAATAAGCCTGTGTAAGGTTATCTACAAAGTCATTTCAAAAATTCTTGCTGAAAGACTAAAACCCTGTCTTCCCTTTTGCATCAGTAACACACAATCAGCCTTCATACCTGACAGGCAACTCCTTGATTATGTTATCATTGCACAAGAAGTTTTCCATTTTCTCAGTAGACACAGAACATGATCTAAAAGAAACATGGCCTTAAAACTTGACATGTCAAAAGCCTTTGACTGAATTGAATGGGCCTGTATCAAAAGTATTATGGGAAAAATTGGCTTTAACATGACCTTTGTCACCTGGGTTATGGCTTGTGTCCAATCCAGCACATTCTCTTTCAAACTTAATGGGCCCCCTGCTAGATATATAACACCTTCTAGAGGAATAAGACAAGGGGACCCCATATCCCCTTACTTATTTCTCTTGGTATCTGAGTGCTTATCTTGCTTAATTCAGCATGAACTTGCACATGGTTCTTACAAAGGGCTGAAGCTTTCAAGGCAAGGGCCCACCTTCAGTCACCTTTCCTTTGCGGATGACTCACTGCTGTTTTGCCATGCTTATATTGAATCTGCTAACCTCATTCTGGCCATGGTGGAGAAATATAATGTTTTACAGGACAACAAGTTAATCTTCTAAAGTCCTCAGTGTTTTTTTAGCAAGAATACACCTCCTACCACACAGAGGGAAATTTTCCATACTCTCCAAGGCATCACACTGCATCAGTCTTCTAGTTATTTGGGCTTGCCACTTGGCATAGGCAGATCTAAAGGTGAAGCCTTCAATTTTGTGCTTGAAGCTGTAAAAAAAGATTATTAAGCTGGAAAAACAGATTCCTCTCAGAGGCAGGCAAAGAAGTGCTCATCAGCTCTATCTTGAGTGCTCTCCCAGTTTTCACTATGTCATGCTTCCTTCTGCCCTTGGGACTCTGTAAAGAACTTTCAAAGCTTTTTGCTAACTTCTGGTGGACATCTCAGAGTAATAACAACACTGGTATTAACTGGAAAGCCTGGACTCTTCTATCTCTACCCAAAGTTGCTGGTGCTCTGAACTTTCATGAACTTCATGTCTTCAATGAAGCACTTATCTTGAAACAAATATGGAGAATGATCACCAAACCAGATACTTTCTCTCTGGTGACTTCTTTAGTGCTAAACCTACTCAAAATGCATCCTGGTTATGGAGGTATTGGCTTAAAGTCCAGAAAACCTTTTTACAAGGCTTTATGATGTAGGTTCACAGTGGCAGGCAACAAGAATCTGGGAGCACCCTTGGGTCCCAAGCCTCCCAACTAATAAACTGCTGGCAAAGACTCCCATATCTCCTAATCTGAAATGGGTTTCTGAACTAATTGCAGAGGATGGTGTTTCTTGGGATAGAGAACTTATTTGCAGTTCATTCTCTCAGTCTGAATTTGAAGTCATCTTCCAAATAAAAAATCTGAATAGGCATCTGGCAGACAAACCTATCTGGTCCTTTGATGCAAAAAAAAAAAACTTTCTCAGTGGCTGCTACCTATGCACAACTCATAGCTGACAAAATTATGAAGCTTGATATCCCAGAGAATAGTGCCAATGCTAGGAACATGAGAAAGATAAGGAACACGAGCTGGAAACTTAAAATCAAAGGCAAAGTAAAACATTTCCTCTGGAAATGTTACAGTGGTGTCCTCCTAGTGGCTGTCAACCTCAAAATAAGAGGCCTCACCTTAGACACTACCTGCATGCTTTGTGGTGAGCAACCTGAGATCACAGAACACCTCTTTTTCCAATGTCCAAGGCAGTTACAGTCTGAAAACTATCTCTTGTGCAATGGGGTAGCCTATCCTACTTTGATGGACATTTCAAACACTAGTGGACAACCATTTGCTTGATCAGAAAGGACAAGGCAGTGGATGACAGAGTGCAACTTTCTACATATATATTGTGGAAATTATGGAAAACTCGCAACCTTTGGGTGTTCCAACACATCAGGACCCCAGAGAGGGTCATTATGGAGGTTGCTGTGAAAGAATGGCTGGAGTACGTTGCTTCTCTATCCCACCAGCAAACCTTGTTGCTGTTCTTTAGTTAGTAATTTTTATATTTCTTTCTTTGTTTAGTCTGGTTTTCTGTTTCTTTTTCCTAGCTAGGCCTTGGCAGTGGCTAGTTTGTTTATGGTGTTGGTGTCTTGTGATTCAGACTCTTTGTTTGTCTTACAAGTAGTAGATTCCCGCAGATGTTTGCGGCTGCTACTTGGCTATTGTGTTGTGTTTTTTGCTTTCTATTTCTAGGCAGGTTTCTAGCTTGTCTCTGATCCTTATGGATTGTGATCATGTTTGATCCCGTGTACGAACTCTATCTATTTATGAGATAATTTACTATCGTTCGAAAAAAAAAAAGATTAATAGACTAAATTTAAAGTACTGAAAAAATGATGAAGTTGAAATTTGAGGTACCAAATAAAAAAATTGTAAGTAAAATTGGGGCATCTAATTTAGGAAGACAATTTGTCACCAATTAGAAGCTAGATGAAAATAGTTCAATTAGAAGTAACTAAAAATGTCTGAGACATTTTTTACTTAATTTTTTGTTTGTTCAACCCCTTAATTTTTTATTCTGGTTGCTAAAGTATTCTCTTTCTTAATTTTGTTTGAGTCTGGTCTGGAGGAGGGGAGGAGCTTGTTGTCTCTCCAGTGGGCTCCTGTCGCAAGTTAGGGAAGGGATTGCGTAACTAGATGGTTATCCAAATGTATATTTGATCAGCTATTT